TTTTGAGATGGAGTCTTGCTCTGCTGCCCAGGCTAGAGTGCAGTGGCTCGATCTTGGCTCACTGCAACCTCCGCCTACTGGGTTCAATCAGTTCTCTGCCTCAGCCTACTGAGTACCTGGGATTACAGGTGCCCACTACCATGCCCAGCTAATTTTTTGTATTTTTAATAGAGATGAGGTTTCACCATCTTGACCAGGCTGGTCTTGAACTCCTGACCTCATGATCCACCCACCTCAGCCTCCCAAAGTGCTGGGATTACAGGCATGAGCCACCTCACCTGGCCCATTTTTAACTATTTTTATTGTAGATCTTCTAGTAGTTACTTCCATGCTTCTAAATAATATGCATGTACAATTATCTTTTATTAACTTTAGAAGTAATCCGTTGGCTTTCTGCAAAGATAATTGAGAACTTAGGTTACTTACCCTCCACAGCCCTGCTTATCTCCCCTCCCAATATCATAATGTTATTTTTTAAATTCCTCTATTTTATTACCTTATTGGTTTAAAGAATATTTAAGTCTTAGTTATCTTGTTCCATCAGGCTGACATAGGCTCTCTTGACTCCACATTATATATGATGAGAACATAAGTATCCCTACCCTTTTCTTTACCTCTCCTCTCCATCTTCAAACCGCCAAGATCTATTACCTGTACTATTACGTTATAAGTATTCTCTGGAGGAGTTCATATATCCTCAATGCAAGTCCTTTGTTCAATACTATATGTGTTGAATATCTTCTCCCAGGCTTGCCTCATTCCTCTAAGAAGTTCTTAATGAAAAGAAGTCTTTAATTTTAATAAAGTCCAGTTTGCGACTTTTTCTCTTTCTTTCCTTCTTTTCTTTCTTTTTTTTTTCTTTCTTTGACAGGGTTTAACTCTTTTGCCCATGCTAGAGTGCAGTCGCGTGATCACAGGTCACTGTAACCTTGAACTCCTGGGCTCAAGCAATCCTCCCGCCTCAGCCTCCTGTTTGGACTACAGGTGTGCACTACCACGCCTGGCTAATTTTTAAATTTTCTGTAGAGACAGGGTCTCTCTATGTTGCCAAGGCTGGTGTTGAACTCCTGGCCTCAAGCAGTCCTCCCACCTTGGCCTCCCAAAGTGCTGAAATTACAGATGTCAGCCACCATGTCCAGCCAGCACTTTTTCTTCATGGTTAGTGCTTTCTGCATCCTGTTTAAGAAATGTTGTCTAACCTAGTCAGAAGATATTTTCCTTATGTTTGTCCTAGAGGCTTAATTGCTTTAGTTTCAGATTGAGATCTAGTATCCATCTCAAATTAATTTTTGTGTATACTCAGAGGTACAAAGTTCGTTTTTTTCTTATGGATATCCAACAGATCAAATACCTTTGATTGAAAATACCATCCTTTTCACAATAAATTGCTGTGGTGCCATTGTTTAAATCATGTAATCATATATGTAAAGTGTTTCTGTAGTGTCTATTCTGTTGCATTGGTCTATTTGTGTGTATTTATTTATTTATTTTTTAAGACGGAGTCTCACCCTGTTGCCTAGGCTGGAGTATAGTGGCACAATCTTGGCTCACTGAAATCTCC